GACATCAAACTACCAAATAATCCAATTAAAAAATGAGGTACAGATCTAAATAGAGAATTCTCAACAAAACAATCTCAAATGGTGGAAAGACACTCAGGAAATGTTCAACATCCTTACTCACCAGGGAAAAATGCAAATCAAAACAACTCTGTGATTCTATCTTACACTGATCAAAATGGCTAAGATCAAAATCACTGATGACTGCTTATGCTAGAGAGAATGTTGAGAAAAGAATACTCCTCCATTGCTGGTGGGAGTACAAACTTGTACAACTACTGTAGAAATCAGTATGGTGATTTCTCAGAAAATTAGGGATCAACCTACCTCAAGACCCTGCATTACGACTTTTGGGCATATACCCAAAGGAGGCACACTCACACCACAAGGATTTTTGCTCAACTATGTTCATAGCAACATTATTCATAATAGTCAGATCTTGGAAACAACTTAGATGCCCTTCAACGAAAGAACGGATAAAGAAAATGTACATTTACATAATGGAGTATTACTCAGTGGTAAGAAACAATGACATTCTAAAATTTGCAGGCAAATGGACAGAAGTAGAAAAAAAAACATCCTGAGTGAGGTAAACCAGATCCAGAAAGATAAATATAGTATGTACTCACTCATAAGGGGATAGCAGACATAAAGCAAAAGATACCCAGCCTATAATCCACAACCCCAGAGAAGCTAGAACCCTTTTCCAGAAACAGATGGAAGCAGATGCAGAAATCCACAACTAACCAATGGACCAAGCTCCTAGAATACAATTGAAGTGAGGGAGGAGTGATAATATGAACAAAGGACTCAAGACCATGATGGGGAAACCCATAGAATCAGCTGACCCAAGCTAGTGAGAGATCACTGACTCCAGTCTGAAAAATGGGGAACCTGCATAAGATCAAACTAGACTCCCTTAATATAGGTGACAGTGGTGCAGCTGGGACAATATATGAGACCACTGGCAGTGAGTCCAAGATCCAACACTAATGCACAAACTGACTTTGTGGAGCCCATTCTATATGGAGAAATACCTTACTCAGCCTGGGGTGGGGGTACCTTGGTCCTGCCTCAATGAGATGATAAGACAGACTTAGTCGACTTCCTAGGGCCTTACCCTCCCCAAGGAGCAGACAGGAGGTGGAAGGAGGATGTAGTGGGGGGAGCAGGAGAAGAGGAGGGAGGGGAAACTGGGATTGCAGTGAAAAAAAAGTTAATTTTTAAAAAAGGTGAGAAGGGGCCCCTAAAAGTTGTCATCTGGCCTCCACCATGGCACAAACATGCTCCTACTACACACACCCAAGTTCACACATACACACACACACCCAGTGTTCACAGACTATGGTTTTCCTGCAGAGCACCGTACAAACACGCTCCTACCCACAAACACACACCCAATGTTCACAGACTATGGTTTTCCTGCAGAGCACTAGATTGCATTTCTGGGGTAGGGTGCCCCTGTGTGGCCCAGGATGGCCTGAGCATACCATGCAGCATCTAATTACCAGTGGAGTGCCTCTCGATCAGCAGCATGAGGAGTTCCCACTCCCCGTAGGGAGCTCCAGTCAGAGAAGGCCAAGTCCTTGACATGCATTGCAAAAAAGGGTTTCAGGATGAAGTCAGGCATGGAGGCACACACATGTAAACCCATGTAAGGTAGAGGAGAAAGGAGCTTAAGGCCATCCTCAGCTACAGCAAATGCAGAGGTAGCCTTCAGGCTCTGAGACTGTCTCATAAACAACAAACAAGGAATTTCAGGAGCCAGAGAGAGGCAAGGTTAGTGAGTTTATAAAACAATGACTAGGCATAGTGGTACACACCTTTAATGTCAGCACTCAGGAGGCAGAGGCAGGTGGATCTCTTTGAGTTTAAGGCCAGTTTGGTTTGCATAGTGAGTTCCAGGACAGGAAGGGCTCTGCAGAAAGACCCTCCCCAATGAAATACAAAAGAGGCAAGGAAAATATTATAGTAGAATTCTAGGGTCAACCCGCAACTCATCCCTGCAAAACCCCAGACCTATATTCACTTGCTCATTGAACGTTGCACTTAGATGTCTAATAAGCCTCACTAGCATTAACTGTCCAGATTGTAATGAAGTAAAATAAATACATTAAGAAATAAATATTATTTGGTTTTTCGAAACAGGGTTTCTCTGTGTAGCTTTGGAGCCTGTCCTGGCACTTGTTCTGTAGACCAGGCTGGCCTCAAACTCACAGAGATCCACCTGCCTCTGCCTCCCAAGTGCTGGGATTAAAGGTGTGCACCAACAACACCTAGCAAGAAATATTTTTAAAAAACAAAATTATAGGTAAGGTGCATTTATTTAGATTTAAGTATGACAAAGAGTTAAACTCAATGCCACAAATATTTTGACCCTAAGAACACATAAACTGGTTTTTATTTTAATTGCATTTATTTACTTGTTCTGTGTGTGTGTCTGTGTGTGTGTGTGTGTTGGGCCTGCATGTGAGATGATGAGCTTGTAGAGGTCAGAGGATAATTTGAAGGAGTCTGTTGTCTGTCTGAGGCACGCATGCATAGGAGATAATTTAGCCTAGGACCCTATTTGAGTTTGGATTATACGTGTACACATACATCCCTTGTAATGCAGTTGACACCCCAGCTCCTCCACCTGTATGTACTATGCAAACACGTTTCTCTCCAACCAATAGAGCTAGCAAGCTCAAAACCTCAACCCCCAGCCTGCATCAGGCTATACATGCTCCCATCTCTGAACAGGAGTTTCTTCACTCCTACTAACAATCAAATTTAGACGTTTCTATTTAAATGTGTGCCCAATGTATTCAGATATGAAAAAACAGAAGGGCCAATCTGGTATGAGCTGGTTTTGGATGATGTACAGCAAAGCAAAATACCTAGAAGCATTTTAAGTAGAATCCCCTATTTACATCTTAAGTCTATGCATAGCTATGTGTGCCTAGTTCTAAAATCAGACACACTATGGGAAGGGAGATGAGCACCAGGAAAAGTCAATATATGGCCTAATCCAACAATCAAAGTAGACAACCACCTGAACTGCAGTCCTTAGCAACCAGCCCTACCTTCCTTTACACCCAATAAAAACAGACTCCAAGGTGCAACTCAGGCCTTTGAATGCCCCCACTCATGCGCCCTGCTGTCAACTGTCATACTCTATAAAACCTATTATTGCTTTGCTCCAAATAAAGTTGTCTTGCTTCCTTTGCAAATCTTTGTAAGCCCTTACCTACTGGATTGGGTGAGACATGTCTTCCATAGGTTCACAATTGGTCCCCTGTTGGGGTTGCTGTTGGGGGGGTAGTGGGTGGAGCCTTGCTGGAGGAAGCACATCCCTCAGGGTGGGCTTTGAGAGTTACAGCCTTGCTGCATTCCCAGATTCCACTCTCTGCTTCTGCATGTGGCTATGATCTCTAAGTTCCCTGATCTGGCTGGCCTCTTGCTGTCCTTCCACCCTCCCACTGTGGACTCTTGCTCCATAACTATAAGCCAAAATACACCCTTCTTTTTGTAAGTCAGTCTTAATCTAGTCTTGGTATTTTATCACAGGCACCGAAAAGTCAAATCTCACTTTTCAATTCTTTGAATAAGAGGCCACAAACGTAGAAATACTCAACCTTGACCCTGCCCACCCCTACCACTACTAACCCGTGCACCACGTGAGAGTCCCAGGGATCAAACTCGGGTTGTCAAACTCGGTGGCAAGCACCTTTACAGGCTGAGTCAGCCCTTTTCTGGTTTAAGAGTGAGTGACTCTTGTATCTCAGCTTGGCCTTGAACTCCTGATCTTCCAATTCTATCCCCCAAGCTGTGGGAGTACAGGCCTGCCCCAGCACACCCAACTTAGTTTGTTATTTGTAGCATCTTCCTTTGAGAGGTCTTTAGGAAGACAAGCACTGTCTCCGTAAGCAACTTTGGCTCCTTTGGTTATTTTGAAATTTCAACTGTCAGTAAGCAGAGAAGCAAACTAGATTCCTGCACCAGGGGTGCCTGTCACTTCAATGTCTCCTTAGTTTTCTGCCTTTTTATTGTGCCTCAAAACGACACCTAAATCAAGGCATGGTTGTGTATGCCTTTAGTCTCAGCACTCGGGAGGCAGAAACAGGTGGGGCTTTGGGAGTTTGAGGTCCCTCTGGTCTACCTTGGGAGTTCCAGGACAGCCAGGGCTACATAGAGAGACCTTGCCTCAAATACCAGTAAGATGCCTAGTATTACTGTGATATAATTCAAGCCTGTGCCCTACTTTACGTTGTGATCATGTAATGGTGTAACTGTTTGTCTTGCCTTGAGAGATTCCATTTTACAAGCAGCTTTTGACTCTGTTTTGAGGGTAGAAGACTGACTGACTGTACCAAACCACTATCTGTTTGGCATTACTCATAAGCACAGACCGGTAAATGACTTACTCCAGAGAACAGAAAGAATGCTATCCCATAAAATTTATTGGGGTGAGTTGAGACTATAAGGGCAGATGGTTGTATTAAAATACTTTTTGGTTACTGTTTTGTTTTGTTTGTTTTTCGAGACAGGGTTTACGTGTAGCCCTGGCCGTGTCGGAATTCACTCTGTAAACCAGGCTGGCCTCAAACTCAGAGATCCTTCTTCCTCTGCCTCGAGAGTGCTGGGATTAAAGGTGTGCGCCACCGGTGCATGATTATCAATCACGTCTGCTTTAACGAACTCCTAAAGCAAACATTTCCAGAATCTGGTAGGTTCCCTACCAAAGAAATGGGAGAAACTTTTCCACATATAACAAAAAGAAATGAGAAGTGTCAGTCAGTGGCTCACCGTGAGCAAAGACGAGCGCCCTGAGCTAAGAACTGCCCGGCGCCAGGAGGTCTTGACGTAGCAAGCAGCGCCCACCGTTTTCCCGACTCTCTGCTCTCATCCCGAGCTTCCAGAGGTACCAAAACAAAACCAGCCTCAGGGCTCCGCCCCAACGTGCTCCGCGGAGCCCGAACCTCGCGAGACTCGCTGTCCCGGTCAAACCCCGCCCACCCGCCGCTCGCGGTGGGCGACGGGCGCCTGCGCAGCTCCTCAACGGCGCGGCTTGCGGGAAAGATGGAGTGTCCTACCCCTGGTGCTGCGGAGGCTGCGGACCCCGGAGGGGCCGGACCGAACAGCGGCTCTGAGGAGCAGGAGGGTCGGGAACCGGACGGAGTGCGCTTCGACCGCGAGAGGGCGCGCCGCCTGTTGGAAGCCGTGTCCGGGGCGCAGCCGGCGGGGAGGGAGGAAGGTGAGTCGGGGGCTCGGGGACGGCGGCTTGACGGGGGCGGGACGGCCTGCCGCCTGTCACTGCCCTGACGCGGGCCAGCCTGTGCGCGACGTCCCGGAACTCCTGACTCGCTCTCGGGAAGGGTGCGGGACCACGAAACTCGCTGCCCTGAGGGATTTTTCCTCCCTCCTTTCGCATCCACACGAGGGCAGTTTCCCCCAAACTCCAGGGCTTGCCCTCTTGGAGATCGACAGGACCTTCCCAGCCGGACCCGCAGCCGAGCCAGCTACCACTCCTATCTGTCCTTAATTACACATCTCCACATTGCTTCCCTTCCTCTCAAAGCCTTACAGTTCTGACGGATCTGAATGGCTATATTCAGTTTACTTTATTTATTTATTTGTTTGTTTTGTGACACCTCTAAAACTCGTGGCGGGCCTCCTGCCCTACAACGGGTCTGAGCTTTGGAACCCCAGCTTCCTCTTGAGCTCGGGGTCTGTGTCTGTCTTGACATATTTCCTTCTTGGTAGACCTTGAACTTGGCCTCACCCCGCTTAGTTGCTGGCATTACTGGCTTGCATCACCATACCCTGCAATACCGTATTTCATGCCTCGCAGTACCATATTTCTATGTGTCTGTTGCCAAGCCCGTATTCCAAAGAGGAGATCCAGGAGCCAGGAAAACTGGCCTAGGTAATCGGCTGTCTCCAGGTGCCTCATCTCCCAATGATGGAAAGTTGGGGTTCGCCTCTGAGCTGAACAGTTAATAAATGGCTTTGTTTGACCCAAAACTGGGTGGGTAACAGGATGGAGGAGAGCCGGAAGAGTTGGCCTCTTCCAACAGTCTTTTCCAGAGCCAGCTACTTAATGCTAACCCAGACGTACAAGAACTGTATCTGGGTTTCTGTGCTAGTCAGGTCTCTACAGAAAAACCGGATTTCTGTCCTGGATGGTTTGCTTGCTCAGCAGACTAGTCTTGGAAAGTTTAATGTGTTTGTGAACTGCTCGCCCTAGATAAGATTGAAATTTCCGACCATGTGCAAGGGAGACATGTTTGCCCGTGTGTGGCAGGGGGTACCCAAGGAGGACAGAAAATGGCATTATATCCCCTGAAACTGGAGTTACAGACCATTATGAGCTACCATTTAGGGGTTGGGAACTGACCCCTGGTTCTCTACAGAAGCAGTAGCTGCTCTTAACTGCTGAGGGTGTCTCAGAATTGGGGATACACGAAAGGAAGTGGCCTTGGAGATGGATGGGGAGAGTGTGCCCTGGACCTTGAAGCAGAGAACACGGCAGCTGCTCAATGAACTATCTGCTTCACATGCATGAGCACCGTACATATGTAATCATAGCACAACCCAGTTCATTTCCCTGTCTTCACTCCTCCAGCCTCACATACCTGAGCATCTCACCCGCCCACTTCTTTTCTTTGCGGCACCTCCATTATTATAATTCATATATCATAAATTCAACCTTTGTAGGTCTACCACTCATTGATTTAAAATAGCTCTTCTATTTTGATCATGTGTATGTGTGTGTCCATATCAGAGTACATACAGATGCATGGGCTCCCTTGGCACTGGGGCTGCAGACAATGGTGAACTAACATGAGTGCTATGAACCGAACTCAGGTCCTCTAGAAGAGCAACACATGTTCTTACTGGCTAGCTGCCTCTGCAGCCCCCAACTCAATGGTTTAATTTTTTTCTTACCTTTATTTAGAGAGAGTGTGGTGCGCATGGTCACGCGCGTACCATGGTGTGTGTATGGGGTCGAAGAACAACTTGCAGGAGTTGGTTCTCTCCCTCCACACGCAGGTCTTGAGGAACGAGCTCAGGGTCAGGTTAGTGACAAGTTCACTTACCTAGTCAGAGACTCTTGGTAAAAGTCGAAACTTGTGTAGTCCTAACCACAACCCTGTTTTAGATCATTTCCATCATCGAAGGTAGTGTCCCGTCTCTGGTCCTTCCCACTGAGTCTCCTCTCATACCTGCCCTAGGTAACCACTAATGTGTTTCCATCTCCACAAATTTACCTTTCCTCAACATCTCATACAAGCAGATCCCTACAGTGTGCAGTCTTTTGTGTTTAGCTTCTCTTTGCTTGTTTTGGGGGCTTAGCCAAGTCACAATGTGTGTTCCTTTTTATTGCTAATTAGAACTCTGCTGGGGCTGAAGAGGTGGCTCAGTGGTTAAGGTTAAGAGCACTGGCTGATCCCTAGCACACGAAAACCCACTCCACGTAGAGGGACACTCTCAGCCTTGACACACGGGGGAGAGTCTAGGCCCTGCTCCAAATGATATGACAGACTTTGAAGATTCCCCATAGAAGGTCTCATCCTCCCTGGGGAGCAGAAGGGATGGAATAGGGGGCTGGGGGGCAGGGGAGGGAGAAGGAACTGGGATTGACATGTAAAAAAAGCTTGTTTCTAATTTAAATTTTAAAAAAAAGCACTGACTACTCTTTCAGAGGACCTGGGTTCAATTCCCAGCACCCACCGGCAGCTCACAGCTGTCTGTAACTGCAGTTCCGGGGCTTCTGACACCTCACACGGACACACACGCAGGCAAAACAGGCATGAGCATAAAATTAAAAATAAAATAAATTTTAAAAAAGGAACCTGCTGTATGGGTATATTATATGTGCTTGTACATTTGCTATTTGGAATATCTGGGTAGTTTCTAGTTTGGACCTCATTCTGGGAAATTCTTTTGGAGAGGGCTCTCATTATCTAGCCATGGCTGGCCTGGAGCTCACTGTGTAGATCAGGTTGACCTCAAAACTACAGTAATCCACCTGCCTTGGCCTACTGAATTCCAGGGCAAATGGTGCTCACCATCATGCCCAGTGAGAAAATCTTTACTCTGTGTGTGTGTGTGTGTGTGTGTGTGTGTGTGTGTGTGTGTGTCTGTCTGTCTGTCTGTGTGTCTACATATGGACAGCCTCATGAATGCCATGATGTTTGTGTGGAGGTCTCTTCTTCCATGGTGGGATTATGGGGTTGTCCCACTGACTCTGCTGTGGGATTGTGCAGAGTTTTTGTGTGGACATCCATTATTTTTTAGGGGTCTCTTCCTGGGAGTGAATTTGCTAGGCTACATGGTAGCTCTGTATCTTTTTTCTTTTTTGAGACAGGGTTTCTCTGTATTGTTTTGGAGGCTGTCCTAGAACTTGCTCTGTAGACCAGGCTGGCCTCAAACTCACAGAGAGCCACCTGCCTCTACCTCATGAGTGCTGGGATTAAAGGCGTGCACCACCACACCAGCTGTTTTATGAGTTGTAGTGGTTTCTTGTTTTCTGAGTATTGGTGACAGTGGCCAGCATTTCACCTACTCATTTATATACTTTGGTGAACTATCTAGGCATATCGTTGCTCATGTTGTAACCTGGTTGTTTTATTGATGAATTATAAGCCATTTTATATTCTGGATGCAAATCCTATATTTCAGATATGATGTCCACATATGTTTTCTTTGAGGCTTGTCTTTATTTCTTGTTTCATTTTGTTAAGATTGTCTTCTTTGGGGGTGTTTCCCTATGTTGTACTATTTGACCTGTACAGCCTCAGACTCATAGAATGCACCACATGTCTGGCTATCTTCTTTATTTTTCATTGCATTTATGTGTATGTGTGTGGGCACATGGGTGCCTTGGCACTCGTGTGGAGGTTAGAGGACAGTTTGTAGTAGTCAATTTTTCCTTCTATCGTGTGATCCCGGGGATTGGGCTTGGGAGTTTAGATCAGTCTTGGCAGCAAGCACCTTAACCCACTGAGCCATCTCACCGGCTCTTGTGTTTATTTTATAAACAGTGCCTTTTGAAGCATAATTAGCTTCTACCATATAAAAGAACGTGTGGCACTTATTTTTCTTTGCCTGTCTTTCCTCGCTTAAAACAATGCCCTGAAGCTCTATTCATTTTGCTGCAGATGACAGATCTCGTGTCTTTGTGGCTGTATAATGTTCTGTTGGGTGTGTGTCCCATGTCTTCTGTATTCTTTTTATTTTGTTTTATTTGTGAATGCACACTGTGTGTGGGACTGGCATGGCTATGTGTGGCAATTGGAGGACAACTTGCAGGAGTTCTCTCCTTCTCTTAAGATTTATTTATTCATTCGTTATGTATAGTGTTCTGTCAGCATGTGTCCCTGCAGGCCAGAAGAGGGCGCCAGATCTCATTGTACATGATTGTGAGCCACCATGTGCTTGCTGGGAATTGAACTCACGACCTCAGAAAGAGCTGCCTGTGCTCTTAGCCCTTAAGCCATCTCTCTAGCCCCTGAGCTCTCTCCTTTTGTCAAGTGGGTTCCAGGATCCAAAGTCAGGTAGTCCTGTTTGGCAATAAGTACCTTCCTGGGCCATTTCATTAGTCCTACATTTTTTTTTTTTAAGATTTATTTATTGGGCTGGAGAGATGGCTCAGAGGTTAAGAGCACTGACTGTTCTTCCAGAGGTCCTGAGTTTAATTCCCGGCGACCACATGGTGGCTCACAACCACCTTAAGTGAGATCTGGTGCCCTCCGCTGGCATGCAGACAGAAGACTATATACACAATAAATAAATAAATAAAATATTTTTAAAAAAGATTTATTTATGTATATGGGTACTTTATCTGCATGTACATCTACACACCAGAAGAGGGCATTGGGCAGTTGTAAGCTGCCATGTAGGTGCTAGGAATTGAACTCAGGACCTTTGGAAGAGCAGTGCTCTTAACCCCTGAGCCATCTCTCCACCCCCAGTCCTACATTTTCTATATTCATTTATTTAGCTAACGTCATAGCCTGTCTATGGCGAATTATGCCACCTTACATATGAGCACACAGGTATTTGGACAAGCTAGTTTATTTAATTTTTTAAGGGACTAATTCTTTATTTCAAGAGACTCTTGTCAATATTTTGCATCAAAATAGTTGCACTTGGAGCTGGAGACGTGGCTCAGTAGTTTAGAGCTGTCTTGCTCTTCCCGAGGACTGGAATTTGTTACCAGCACCCATACCAACTGCTGAGGGTTCCTGCGTCACATGCAAGTTCTCACAGACAGACACACAAACACACACAATTAGAAATAGATCTTAAAAAGCAAACAAACAGAAAACAAGTGTGCTGTGAGGTTCTCTTTCTCCCAGCTGACCCCAAAGAGACCAGAAGAGAGAAAAATCCACCCACTGCCAAAGCTCAGGATGTTCACCTCACAGACTCCCGGGAACAATGGCAGCTGGAAGCAACTCTGAACGGCCATAGGAGGCTTGCCAGAGAAAGTCCCCCCAAAACAACGGTTCAAAATAATGTAAACATTTTTAAGTTTTGCATATAAGCATGAATGATTTGTCAGCAGTGGTTGATACAAAGTGTAGTGAGATGACACTTGTAGAGAAAGCAGCTGCAGAAAGTGATAAATTTCACACAAGAACTCTTTCCTCTCCCCTCCTGTCTCTGTGTGTGTGTGTCTGTGTGTGTGTGTGTGTGTGTGTGTGTCTGTGTCTCTGTGTGTGTGTGTCTGTCTGTCTCTCTCTCTGTCTCAGAAGGAGAGTACTGAGTGGTCTCCTCAGCATTGAGAGGCACAGAATCCATTTTGTGAGGGAGAGGAGTAGAGACAAGTTTTGTCTCAGAGCTGGGGCTGGAAAGCTAACCTAATACTCGCAGGTCCCTAAGTGTTGGGAAGTAGGGATATCAACAAGTCTAACCATCTTGATTTGGTCCTGTCTGATTTAAAAAGTTAAAAGTAAAAGTGAAGTTGTTCAAAGACGCCTGAAACTGAAAACCTCCACATCCAGGTACTGGTTTTTGCTTGGACCAGCTTCCTAGAAACCCTTTCTGTTCAACTAGGACTTTGTACAGAGCATCAAGTTTTCCTCTGTAGGGATCTTTTCCTGGGCTCTGCTGGCTCTCAGTAATGCAGACCCGTGCTTGTGTTCCTCTGTGGAGGCCAGGATACACTAGGCTGAAAGTTACCTTCCAACCGTGAGAAAGGGTTGGATTGCTGCTCTCATACTGTGCAATTACTTGGAATGCTTGCTACCATCAGGTGTGGTGCCTATGCCTTTAATCCAACACTCAGAGGCAGAAGCAGGCTTGTCTCTGTGAGTTAGGGTCAACCTGATGTGTATCTAACAAGTTCCAGGGCACTTTAAAACACTGGCTGCTCTGGCAAAGTATCCAGGTTTGATTTCCAGAATCCACTTGGCAAGTCACAACTGCCTGAAACTCCATTTCCCTGGGATCCAGTGCCCTCATCTGGCCTCCATGGCTCAGACATGCATGTAAGCAAAATACCCATACACATGAAATGAAGTAATTTTTAAAACTCAATTATGGAATTATCTAATAAGGGATGCACATCATGGCTTGGGTGTTTGTCTTACTTAGGGCTTCTGTTACTGTGAAGAGACACCATTACCACAGCAGCTATTAGAAAGGAAAAGTATGTCATTGGCGTGGCTCACATCTTCAGAGGTTCAGTCCATTATCATAATGGTGCATCATGGCAGCGTGCAAACAGACATGGTGCTGGCTCCATCTTGATCAGAAGGCAACAGGAAGTGGACTGTCTTCACTGGGCACGGCTTGAGCGTTAGTGAGACCTCGCAGCCTGCCTCCACAGTGACACACTTCCTCCAACACCACACCTACTCCATCCAACAAGGCCACACCTCGTAATAGTACCATTCTCTCTGGGGGCCATTTTCCTTCAAACCACCACAGTGTGTATTGCCCTTTTCCTGAATAGCTATCTCTCCTCTAATGCTTCAGTCCACATTAAAACTGTTACTGATGTTATTTGATACAGGTTCTTACTAGACAGCCCTACACAGCCTGGAACTTACTGTGTAGACTAGGCTGGCCTTGTACTCAGAGATCCATCTGCCTCTGTCACTTGAGTGCAGTTATTAAAGGTGTGCATCTCTTCATCCTACTTTAAAACTAAGATTACAATGTATAGTGGTATGAGCCTGTAGTCAGATCTACTAAGACAGAAGGATCCCTTGAGCCAGGAGTTCATGGGCAGCATAGGACAACCTCAGTCTCCTAACACCAATGTAGGACTAAGTAAAGAACATTGGCCTATATATTATAAGTAATAAAGCAGTTGGTTTGCAAGCATAGCATGGGTCATGGCACCCTGGCAAGGAGGAACAGAGATCTGCATGTGTGCTGGTGTGGATTCCATTATTCAGTGTCTGTGTTTATGATAGATCAGAGACAGTGCTGTTGAAGTCACATCTGTCAACCCTCATGATTTCTTTTCCCTCTGTAGTGGAACACATGATCCAGAAGAACCAGTGTCTCTTCACCAGCACTCAGTGCAAGGTTTGCTGCGCCATGCTGATTTCTGAGTCCCAGAAGCTGGCACATTACCAGGTAGGCCATCTCTACTGTGGCCTTGCACTTGCCTTCCAGTCCAGTGCCCAGCCCTCCCCTCTCCTGCAAAACACAATGAAGGCTGGGTCCTCCATAGCTACCAGATGCTTCTTTCATGCATGTTTGCTTGGGACTTGAAGTTAACTTAATTTCTGTGAATCTCATCTCTCCATCCAAATCAGGATCAGTATATGTGGAAAGTATGGCCTCTGACTTTACGTACATCTGAGTTTGAATCCAACTCTGTTATGCCACCTTAGAGGCAAGAAGTTTCACTGTGCTTGGCCTGAGCTTCTCCATGTATGTGATACCAGTATTCTCATAGGTTGTTGAAGGTTAAATGTGATAGCCTGTAAAGGGCCTAGCATGTAATAGGAACTCAGCAAATGAATTTTCTTCCCCCATTTTCTCATCCTCACAAGTTTTGTGAGGGGAAATCAGGTGAGAGTCTGGAGTGTCATGGCTGCCTTCTCTGTGAAATGAATGGCATTTGGCTATCTTTGATCTTTCTCTTGGGTTCTTGCAGAGCAAAAAACATGCCAACAAAGTGAAGAGATACCTAGCAATCCATGGAATGGAGACACAGAAAGGTGACGTGAAGAGGCTAGACTCGGATCAGGTAATATAGCTGCCTTGTTGAGACTGCTTGCTTCCCAAGCAGGTTGGTGTGGTGTGAGCACAGACTTTGATTTAGACTGACTCAGCTGCCAGTGTCAGCCCTGGTGTCTCTCTTGGGCAAGTCTCATAACTCCAAGCCCTGACTTCTTCCTCTGTGAAAACAGGAATACTCTGAGCATGGTGGTGTGTACATGTGACCAGGCACTTGGAGGTGGAGGCAGGAACGCCAGTAGTTGAAGGTTGTCTTCCACTGCATAGCAAGTTTGGGGCCAGCCTGAGCTACAGTGTCTCAAAACAAACTAAAAAGACATGATAGCTACCTTTCAGGGGGGTTGTAAGTAGAAAAAGACTTCTAAAACAGCACCAGACCCTGACTCTGTCATGCAGGAGCAGTAATTAGAATTGTTCATTCTTGTGTTTTGCCACTAGAGGGTTACTGAAGCAGACAAGAGGGGACGTAGGAGGGAGCCTGGGCGCTCATTTTCTTGAGCTGTGGGAAAACAAACTTTCAGCATTTGGCCTGAACAATCAAGGAAAATAAATACCTCCTCTAAGAATTACGTTGGAACAAGCCTAATTCCTTGGGTGTACTGTGACTTTCAAAGTCACTTATCCTCTCTGAGATTCACTCATAAAGTGAAGGTGGTCTTGCCTCTTTAGTGCTATGAGGTAAAGTTTCAGTCCCCAGAAAATGCTTGATAAGTAGGAAGACTGCAGGTTTAAAGGGACCTTGCTTCCCCTCCAGAAATCACTTCTGAGTGGCCCTGGTGGCTTGAACCCAGAGAGGAAAGACCATTTCTTTCTCCCCTTTGCACTTCAGTTTTTCAGATGACTGAGTGACGCAGATAAGACCACAGCACCCACCACCAGCTAGGAATTACTAACCCAAAATGTCTGCAGTGCGAAGGTTGAGAAATGTTGAAGAAACAGCTATTTTAGAGGACAGGATTTTGGGGAAGATTAAAATACACTTTCTAGCATAACCATAGTAACAAATGGAACCTGATAATGCACTCGTTCTAAGAGCCCTGGGTTTATACTGTGCGCTCGGCACAGTAGAGCACAAGATAGTTAACAAAGATAAATCAAGTTGTCAACACCCAGCATTGCACTGGAGCTCGCATAAAAGTCTCCTAAGCTGTTATGCTGTCAGTTTAGGGTGACAAAGGGTATAATAGAAATCTGATAGACTCTGGGAATACAGATAAGGATAGAGGTTAATTCTTCCTGCATATACATAGGAGGGAGCTTGGTGACTGTTCAGTCTTTTTTTTTTTTTTGTGAAAGTCATTGAATGGCTGATAGCAGACCTAATGCCAGGGAGGAAGGTGGAGAAACATTCTAGACAGTAGGGATAACCCAAGCAAAGCAAGGAAGGAACAGAATAAAAAGGGAAGTCATGCCTAGAACCTGACATGAAGCAGCTGGAGAAGACTTTAAAGGTGTGTTGGGGTTAGCACGTGCAGGGGTCTTAACTGTCCACCAGCCCACGGGCAGGGGAACCATTGGAGGTTTTCTGGATGCGCAGTGGCATGATCAGACCTGTGTTCTCTCTCCCAACCAGAAGAGCAGCAGAAGCAAAGACAAGAACCACTGCTGCCCCATCTGTAACATGACCTTTTCCTCCCCTGTTGTGGCACAGTCGCACTACCTGGGGAAGACCCACGCAAAGAACTTAAAGCTGAAGCAGCAGTCCACCAAGGGGGCAGGTACTGCTTTCCTGAGTAGTGCTTTTGGGACCCTCCCGTTCTCAGGGCACCAATGGCAGGTGCTTCCAGAATGCTCACCAAGGCCTCAGACTTGAAGAGGTTGCCTTTAAGAGCCCTGAAAAATCCACATAAGAGTTGGGCATGTAACTCAGTTGGTAGAATACTTCCCTAATGTTTGACTTTCATCCCCAGTCTTACATAAGCCACATGTGGTGCACACCTGTAATCTCAGCATTCAGGAGATAGAGGCAGGAAAATTGGAAGTTCAAGGCCATCCTCTGCTACATAGGGAGTTTGAAGCCAACCTGGGCGACATGAGCCCCTGCTTCGTTGAACTTTGGCCTCAGACTTGGGTTCACTCTACTTGCGTTTGTGTTGTTCTAGCAGATTTTCTGTAGAAGCTGCCTAGCCCAGGCTTTTGTCCTAACCAGCAATTGTAACTCAGGAGTGCCAAAGGCCGCACACACCGTGAGCATTCTGTTGCCTGCCCCTCCTGCTGTCACCCACCTGCTCTTACTATTAAGTGTTGCTAGTTGACCACTAACTCCCCATCTTTCTCATGGGCTCAGGTTATGCCCTGCTCACTTTGACCCACAAAAGCCGTCTCTTCTCAAGGCGGGGGCTAGCCTTCAAAGCAGGACATGCTATGTTGTCCAGCAAACTATTTGCAGCTGCCGTGAATCCACTCCCCAGCACTGACTTCACAGTTAGCTTCTGTTATCCGGTCACTGTTGGCCCAGCCTTCACTTTCATCTTGAATCATGAGGTTTTTAACCTAGGCAAGCTGCAATTAGTCAAAAGTGGGAGGCCTTTGATCTCTCTCTCTCTCTCTCTCTCTCTCTCTCTCTCTCTCTCTCTCTCTCTGTGTGTGTGTGTGTGTGTGTGTGTGTGTGTGTGTCTTATCTAATTGGGATCAAGACCACACTATTCATATAACTTTTGATCCTTTTGTTTTACTGTGTCACTGAAACAAGACAATGGTGTTTTAGAAGGTTTTGAAGATAGAAACATCTACTTATAATTATACACTCTAATCATATCCAAATCTAGTTGCCCAGGGTATGAAACAATAGAATATAAACTTTTAAGTCAGAACAGCACAGATTTAAGTCCTGGAACTTTTGCTTACCATTTATGCCTGACTTTCTGCACCTGTAGAGTATCAGCACCATCTGCCTCTGGAGCTTGTCAAGAAGATAAACACTAAAGACACTGGGCAGTTAGGAGTAATAGCACACCTCAAATCCCAGCACTTGGGAAGTGGAGGCAGGAAGATTAGGAGTTCAGTGTCATCCTTAGCTACAACTTCGAGACCAGCCTGGCCTATATGGCACCCAAAAAAATTAATAAGAGGCAAACACACCCCCCCAAAAAAGTCTAGGATATAGCAGATACTCACTAAACAACAGCTATTGTTCCTATTGTTGTCACCATTAAAAAGCCAGTGAGTGAAATCCCTTTAAAAATGCAGTCATTGATCAGGAAGCCACTATCTACAGCAGGGTTCTCAGCCTTCCTAACGCTGCAACTCTTGAATACAGCTCCTCATGTTGGTGATCCCCAGCCATAAAATTATTTTTGTTGCTGCTTCTTAACTGTAATTTTGCTACTGTTATGAATCATAGTGTAAATATCTGTTTTCTGATGGTCTTAGGCAACCCCTGTGAAAATCATTTGACCTGTGCCCAAAGGGGTCAAGACCCACAGGTTGAGAACTGCTAATCTGGAGTGTGCCATTGACCTTTCTTATGGTTGAATTGTTAACTTAAATGAGGACTGATTGATTTTTGCCTATAAAGTGAGAGCTGGTAACAACAGTAGCACCACAATGTTTAAACCTTAGGCCAAGGAAACTTATCTGAACTGAATTTGTAATGTCCTAGACTTAGCTTCCCGCAAATGGGAAAATTCTGTGGAACATGCCTTCTCCCAGTACTTCTGTTCTGAGCAATGAGTTATTGTCCACATCACACTCAGTTAGTGCATCAGCTGTTTCTACTCTACTACTACTTTTCATTTAGCCTTATAGTTTAAACATATATTCATGTTTCTTCATGGGGATATTGTAGCTCTATCCTGAAATTAAACATTTGGCTAACATAAAAGTGAAACATGCATGCTGTAGAAAATACAGATACATTGAAAGGAACTTCCATTATTTTACCATTCAAAGTGCTGTTAACCTTCTAGAGTGCTATTGCTCTTACATAGCATTGTGCACCCTGTGTGTGTGTATATCTGTTTGCGTTGTATTTTATGTTCTTCCTTGACTCCATGTATATGTGCTCATAAACATAGACTACATAGTTTTCTGTTTCTGTTAAAATGATGCACATATATGGATAATTGCAGTTCAACATGCAAAACATTGAAAGAAGCAAGTAAAATGCCACCCACGTCCTACTTCTAAGGAGAGGAGCACTGTTAACAGTGGCTCATGCTTGTAATCTCTGCACTTGAGAGGCTAAGATAGGATTGCTGAGTTTGAGGCTATCCTGGGCTACAAGAAGGTCTAGGCCAACCTGGGTTATAGAGGGAAACCCTGACTCAAAAGAATAAGCAGACAGCCGGGCGGTGGTGGCACACGCCTTTAGTCCCAGTACTCGGGAGGCAGAGGCAGGCGGATCTCTGTGAGTTTGAGGCCGGGCTGGACTGACAGTCTCCAAAACAATACAGAGAAACCCTGTCTCGTAAAACCAAAAAAAAAGAATAAGCAGACAAATATATCCATATGCTGCATGACATGTGTTTGTGTGTGTGTGTGTGTGTGTGTTGGTGACATTTTTAAATGCCAGTATATTTATAGATAACACAAAAGTCTTTTTACCGTTGACCATATTGAATAGTAGATTCAGCTTCCTTAGTATAATATTCCTCATGTTGGGAGCTGGAGAGAGGCTCAGCAGTTAAAGCTCTGCTCTTGCAGAGGTTTCAGGGTTGGTTCCCAGCACCCTGTGGGGCAGCTCAGGACTCCTGGTAGCTCCAGCTCCAGAGCTCTCCATCACCTCTGGCTTCCATAGGCACTGCTCCCGTGTGCACTCACCACACAGAGACACACACAATTAAAATAAAGTCTTTGATATAAAGAAATTCCTCCAAGTCATTACAAACTTTTTGTAGGTATTTTTAGCAGTCATACAAACCACTTGATGGTTTTTGTAACATTGAATCTTTACATTTTCCTCTCCCCTTTTCTTTGTGTTATAAAAATACAATAGTCATCCCTAGAGAACATACTTTGCATATTTCAGGTACTTCTTTATAGAAAACTCTAGCTCTTGCTGGCTTTGGATATCCACTAAACAACTCCTCTGGTTTTACAGCTCACTATATTACTTCCCTCCAGTATTTTTTAAACAATATTTATTTATTTTTGTGTATATGGATATTTTGCCTGCCTGTATATCTGTATGTATAGTACCCCCAGAGGAGGGTATCAGATCTCTAGGACTGGAGTTGCAAATGGTTGAAAGCTACCATGTGGTACCACCATGTGGGGGCCATGTCCTTTGAAAAAGCAGTCAGTACTCTTAGCCACTGAGCTGTCTCCAGTCCCACCCTCTAGTATGTTTTAAAGTATAACCTTGGGCCATCAAGATGGCTCAGTGGGTCACATTGCTTGCCACACAGTCCTGGGAGTCTGACTCTCAGAGCCCATGTGGGGGGGGGAGGGAGGAAAGAACTGAGTCACAAGGTTGACCTCTGACCTCTCCACGTGTGCTCTGGCGTGGACATCGAGGCACACACAGACACACAAACTACACCTACCTATGAGTGCACAAACATGTACACACACATCCATGGGATCTCAACATCCCATGTTTACCTATGAGAGGCTCACACATATGTCCATACCAGACTCTGATTAGCTGGGGTTTTTTTTTTGGTTTTTTTTTTTTTTTTGGTTTTTTTTTTTTTTTTTTTTTGGTTTTTCAAGACAGGGTTTCTCTGTGGCTTTGGAGGCTGTCCTCGAACTCACAGAGATCTACCTGCCTCTGCCTCCCTAGTGCTGGGATTAAAGGCGTGCACTACCAACACCCACCCAGCAGTTGGTTTCTTTTTTAAGAAAAGATTATTTCTATTTGTTGGACAGAGATTGTGTGTGTCTGTGTGTGTGTGTGTGTGTGTGTGTAAGTGTACACATACATGTGTGTACATGTGAATACACTTGCCTGCCTAAGCCAGAATAATTGGATAAAGGCTTTGTGAGCCACCTGACAAGGATGCTGTGAACTGAACGCGGCCCTCTGGAAGAACCGCAGGCGTTCTTAGTCACCGAGCCTGCTCTTCCCCCGCCCGGGTGAATTCTGTGAGCAGAGTCAGAGTGTTTTCTGGTGAAGGTGCATCAGTGGTAGCCTGCAGACCTTCTTGCTGTGCTCTATGCTGGCATAGAATGATAGATAGCTCCAGGTCATGCGGTCCAAGGCCCTCTCCCTGACTTAGTGATCTTGAGCAAGTCATTTTTACTGTCTGAGCTTCAGTCTTCTCTGTAGTATAGCAAAGTAATACCTACCTCATTGGAGGACTTGTGAGAACCAAAAGGGAAGATATATGTACAAACTGTATAATTGTTACTACCACCGTTCTCTCTCCCTCACGTTGCCTAGAATCTAGTGTAGTCTAAACAGGCATCTCTGCCAGGTGTGGTGGCACACACTTCAGTCCCAGCCTGGTTTACATCTTGAATCTTAGGCCAGCCAGAGAGCTACATAGCTACCTAGTGAGACCCTTTCTCAATAAATAAATAAATACATACATAAATGGATAAAAGTAGTTCCTAATCTGGTTACCTGACTCTGTATGGGCTCAGAGCTTGAATGTCTACCTCAGCTTGTAACTGAGGTATATTGAGGATGGGAATGCAATATTCACACTTGTTATCCTACTCACTTTGGAATTCTGATGGCTAGAGAGACTGCAAGTGTGTTTGCTTGGTCTTCACAATTAGGCCACTGGATAGCACAAGGGGGGAGTGTGAGAGCATCAGGGCTCATGTTCCTAAAGCTGGCAGACAAATTAGTTGTTCCTTGCGCTCGAGTGCTCAGCTCGTGCCACCTTTCCCAGACAGAGAAGGCACTTGTGGTGTGAGTCTCGCGGGCGGTGCCAAGTCTCCAAGTGTGATGGTGGCACTGCCTGCCTTTCACTTCAAGCATACTCAAAAGCCTGGCACCTTCCGGGTGGTTTTCATTGTTTCTATTTGAACTCTCTCACCACAGCTCTGTCGAAACACCTTACAAATCCTTTCCTTGTGGCCTCCACCTTAGCCTTGCACCAGAGTAGAGAGATCCTAGATCCAGACAAGTTCTGCAGCCTCTGCCATTCAACCTTCAATGACCCTGCAATGGCTCAACAGCATTATATGGGCAAGAGACACAGGAAGCAGGAGACCAAGCTCAAACTCATGGCGCACTATGGGCGGCTGGCGGACCCTGCTGTCTCTGACTTACCAGGTGAGAGGGCGCGGCTCACACACAGCTGGCTCAGGAGCTGAGCACTGGAACTCCTTGAACTACCCAAGTGTATGCTGCTTCCTGCAGCTTCTAAAGCAGAGTTGGCAAGCAGGCAAGCTGGGCTTGGTGTTCACCCCAGCACTTAGGAGGCTGACGCAGGAGGATCACAAGGATATGCAGTGGGAACCTGTCTTGAGGGGATGCAGGGGAATAAGCAGGAAATTCAGTGACAAGATCCAAAGACATTTTTTTAAAATTTTGTGTTCTGTGGATGGGTAATTGCAGATGCCCAAGGAGAACAGAGCAAGGGGTTGATTCCCTGGTGCTGGAGTTAGAGGTAGTTGTGCCACCTGGTAGGAACTGAACTCAGGTCCTCCAGAAGAACAGCAAGTGTTCTCAACTGCGTAGCCATCTCTCCAGCCTTAACCCTGGTTTAAGTCCCTAGGTAAGATCCATATTGCTTGATTGAAGGCCTCAGCAGCCTCTACCAAAGTCTGAGCATCCTTTGGATATCTCTCTTTCCTCCGCCTTCGAGACCTGCCTGCATCCCTGGGGAGCCATAGTGAAGGAGGAGCCCATTAGCTTCCTTAACCTCAAAGTGTCACCTGGCATCACAGGAAATAATTAAGGGCCCTTCCTATTAGTGTGTTTGGCACTGGTAATGTTACTTGGTTGATAGAGCGCTTGCCCAACATACACACAAAGAGCTGGCCCCAGTTAGCAGCACCACATAAACATGGCACTAGCTGGGAGTTAGACTGGAGGGTCAGGAGTATGCACATGTGCACACACATAAGCAATTAAATAGATAAATGGAAGCAAGGTCATTGTTCTTGCTATGAATGTAACCTGCCAGTCTGTAACTCAGAGCAGGGTTATTTTAGTTTGGTTTGGGGATTTAGGGTTTGTTTTGTTTTCTGAGACACAGTTTCATACATATCTCATGCTGGCCTCAGAATAGCTGTGTCTCCACAGACAACAAACTCCTGACTGGACTGACTGCCTCCTCCGCTCCCAGCTGCTGCGTTTGCAGGGCTGTGCACCATAAGCATCTTAAGAAACTGAGTGTGAGCACTGACTCCCTTCTCCCCACAGGAAACCCTTCTACTGCAGAAGGTCCACTGCATCAGAGGCCACAGCACAGTGCACAACACAATACTGTACCCAGTACGTGCATCCATGTGTGCATCCTAAATAACTCCAACACGTTGAGCAGTATGAGAAAAGGATCCATGAAATAAATAGCCTGGACCAAAAGTGGCATTTCCACGTAAACTGCCCTTCCTGCTGTGATCTCTGTGACCAAGGCTCCACGGCCTCTCAGAAGAGTGCCTTTGACTATGAGTCATCCACTTCCCCTTAGTGTAGTCATCAATGACATCCTTTACTGTTGAAGGGGAAGATGCCCTTCCAGTGCTCTACCCCTGAGTGTATACCCAGCTCTTCCTTATTTCTTCCATTTAGTGTTAAAAAAAATACTGCAACTCATGTGGACATTTTTGTAACATGGTCAACTTGATATAGGAAATTTTTAAATGTAGGACTATTTACAATTATTACTATTAACCACCAAGATAATTAATTATAAGGGATATGGAGGAAATCTGATCTCGATGACTGTTAGACTGTCAGTTGGGTGAGAAGATGCTCTGCCTCAGTCTAGCTGTGGTCTCTGTCCCACCCAGAGGTCTGTTTGCTGTGTCAATGAAAGCAGGGTTTCCCTTCTTTCTGCTGTGCATTTGAGCTGTACCCATGAAACACTAATAATCAGTGTGTTAGTTCTAGTAAGTGGCTAAGTGAGGTGGCTGCTGCCTAATCCCAGCACTAACACAGCTAAGGCAGAAAACTAGTTGAGTCCAAGCCTACCATGGTTTGCACATTGAGATCTTGTCTCAAAACACACACACACACACACACACACACACAAGCCTGACGTAGGAGAATTGCCTCAAGGTCAAGGCCTGTCTGTGCTGCATTCTTACTGGTCTTCAGGTCAGCTTGGGCCACATGGCCTCCCCCAAAAAATAAGCAAACAGGCACCACCATCCCTGAAATGGGGACATGTCCTGTGTTGGTAAAAGTATAAGTGATTTGTGGATTTGGGATAATTCCTATCCAGATGACAGTGACATTCTTCATAAAAGTAGAGAAATATCCTAAATGTATATTGTGTCACACGTGACCTCCAGCAGCAAAGGCAACCTTGAGAAACAAAGAGCAAAACTTGAGACATTGCAGATTTTCCAGACATACTACAAAGCTCTAGTAAGCCAGGCACTCCTCGGAATCCCAGAAAGGTGAAAGAGGAAGGTCAGGAGTCAAAGGTCACTCCTGGCTGCCTAGAGAATTGAAGATCAGTTGAGTTACATGAGACCCAATCATGCCTATCACCTATAATCCCAGCACTTGAAAGATGTGAGCAGGGTGACCGGGAGTTCAAGGCCAGCTTTAGCTACGTCCAGAGTCCATGCTAGCCTGGACTACATAAGACCTAAGACCCTATCTAAACAAAGGATTTTGCTATATTTCGTTTTGTCTCCATTATGACATTTTCATATATATATATATATCTTTGTTCTTGATAATCCTTTTTCCCCTTACCAATACTTTTATGTATTCTTTGTTTTGTTTTGGGGGACAGGGTCTTATTATGCAGCGCCAACTGTCCTAGAACCAGAGATCCACCTCCCCCTGCTTCCCCAGGTGCCTGGATTAAAGGCGTGTGCACCACTATGCCCAACTCCAATACTTTTTTAAAATCATTTTAACCTTTTGAGGCTGATACTAACAGTAACCCTATTTTATGTATCAGGGACCCAAACTCATAGAGAAGCTGCCCTTTACCACACAAGGAGGTCAGAGGTTAAACAGCTGACCTGGGGTCCCACGGGTTAGTAAAGGTGAGCTGTGTGCATAGGTGACCTCACTACAGAGCTGAGATCTGAAGGTAACAGATGGTTCAGAGGCCTCAGGGCCAGGACAGGAGGGAGGGGCTTTCGAGTTGTGCGAGTGCTGCATTATAAGGTATGTGAAATAAGCCAAGTGTGATAGTGCATGCTTGCAACCTTGTCACTTGGGAGGTGAGACTGGAGGGACACATGTTGAAACCTAGCCTGAGATGATCTCAAAAGAAATTAGAGGCAATATATGACTCATGTTAGACATGTTGGCCTGGCATGGTGATACATATATAATCGCAGCACTCAAGAGACCAAGACAGTATAATTGCTTTAAGGCCAGCAAGAGCTACATCGTGTAGTGAGACCTCGCTTCAAAAATACAATGTACCATGGCACTAGAGAGATGGCGCAGCAGTTAACAGCACTTGCTAGACTTGAAGAGGGTCTGATCCAGGCCGTATCAGGTGGCTCGCAGCCTCCTCCACTGTTTCCAAAGGATATGACTTCCTCTTCTGGAAGGCACCTGCACACATGTGTACACACAAGCTGGCAACATACATACAAACATGTGCAAGTGAATTTATGTATTTATTTTGTGTTTCAAGACAGGGTTTTTCTGTGTAATAGTCCCAGCTGTCCTGGAACTCACTGAAATCCGCCTGCCTCTACCTCCTGAGTGCTGGGATTAAATCCCAAGATGCAACTGTTTTATCCTAAGTATTATAAGTATAAGGTAGTATAATTAGTTTGTGGTTGTGAAAAGCTAAGCATTGGAAGGAAGAAGACTTAGCCATACCACATGAAACAGAGCCAGGGTTCCAGTCTGACCTCTTAGTCCTGACTCACTGCTGGAGCCATATGGCACAAGGCCACTATGTCACTAGAGGACCCCTGGTTGTAAGCCCAGGGTGTCTGAACCCCAGTGCAAAGACAGATTGGTCTTCATAACAGCTATATTCCTAAATTACTGTCACTGCAGGCCTTCCAGGAGCTCTCTCAGGGAAGGGGCGCCCTTAATGAGGCCACTAAGCAAAGTAAAAGTCACCTTTGTTCTGTGGCCCTTTATTGTTATTAGATGTATTTATTTTGTTGAGGGTGGTGCACGCACATGCTGTGATGGGCCTGTAGAAGTCAAAGGACAACTTGGAGGAGTCGGATCTGCCCCTTGCGGGTCATGGGGATTGAACCCAGGTCATCAGGCTTGGATGCAAGTTTCTTTGCCCACTAGGCCATCTCGGCAGCTCATATTCTTTCGTTCTTCATTTACTCAGCAACCGTCTAGTCTGGTGTTTGCTGGGCTAGGAACTGGGATGAGTTGATGAGACTAGGGGGTCAGGGTACAGGGCTACAATCTGTGTCTCCAGAGCACCCAGGCCTCTGGGGTTTTAAGCAGGCCCCTCGGCTCCACCCTCAATCTTCAGAAGGGTTCTGCATGCTCTGTGCAAAGTGGCTCTCCTCTGCTTCCTTCCTGCCGGGTAACTGACTCTGCTGCATTTTGATGTGTGTTTCAGCTGGGAAGGGCTATCCCTGCAAGACGTGTAAGATAGTGCTGAACTCCATAGAACAGTACCAAGCTCACGTCAGTGGCTTCAAGCACAAGAACCAGTGAGTAACAGCCTTTGAAACTCAAGCTGTTCAGCAGGAGTCTGGGGTTTCTCAATCAGCAGAAGATTAGTGAGTTAGCAGCAGTTCTCCTGGGCTTCCCCTGCCAGCTTCCCTCTAGCATGTGGATAGACAAGAAAGAGAGTTTCAGTAGAGATGCGCGGTGACTTCCATTGCAGTTTCCAAAGAGCGCCTGGATTTCTTGCCCTGTACAGCTTGCGTAGGAGAACATGAGTTTTTCCTGCTGGTCTGGGGCCCCTTTTTCAATCAGTAGTTTGTACAGGAGCTCCCTCCACAGCTTACTACCCAGTGTGAGAAGACATCCAAGTTCTGGCAAAGCAACCCAGTCCCTGCTCTCACAACCTTACATTCTGATGGCAAGCACAAAGCATATAACCCAGCAGTGAACATCGTGGTGCTTGTGTGGTAGTGCACGCCTGTAATCTCAGCACTCGGGAGGTGGAAGGAGGATCAGGAGTTCAAGACTATCCTCAAATACTAGCAAATCCAGCCTGAGATTCATGAGATCCTGTCTCATAGGGGCTGTGACATCCCTCACAGGGAAATTAGTGCTAACCTTGTTCTTGGTGTTTAAACACACTTGATCAGTTTAGCATCCAGCAGTTTCAGTAGACAGCCTGGAGCCAGCCAGAACTTCAGAGCTACTCACACTTGAGATTGGTAGTGCATCCACACACAGTGGTGCACCCCTGCAGCCCCAGGATTTGGGGAGCTGAAGAAGATCTGAGAATTAGAAGCCAGGATGAGCTACCTAACAAGATCCAGCCCAGCCTGGACTAACTGTAAAGTATTATAGCTCTGGAAAGAAAGGTATCCTCCTGGCAGCCAGGAACCAAGGACTACCTCCTATAAGAGATGTATTGGGAGGGGAAAGCCCAGGAGGTGGCCGACTCTGCTCAGGTGAGAAGCGGCAGAGAACTGAGCCGAAAGCAGGGTTTCTATAGTGTTTCTTGGTGGCGGAGCTTTCCAGGGTGGGGGTTGGTGGGATTTCAAGTCCTGAGCTTCGGCTTTTTACTCTGTAGGGCAGGGACTAGCAGTTAAGAGTGTTCTGCGGGTGGAATCTGACACTCGGGGTCCTCAGGGTGAGGGTCTGGCCATGTGCTTGTCTCCAAAGGCTCACAGACTGCACCAGGAAGGAAGGCAAGACAGAGTTAGTTCTGCTTTGGGTTTTGGGTTGTTTACTGTTGTGACCTTGGTAATTCAATAGACCTTTCAGTCTCTACTATTTCTGTAAAACTACAATCATTGAACAACTCGTTTCATTACATCCTCAGGGAGAGCTCCAGTAGAGCATCTCCTTCATCCAGTGTCAGTAAGGCTGAGTGGTTTGCCCTGGGGTCACATAGCTACTTGGAGTTAAACAAAAGTTTACCCCCGTGTGGCTGCAGACTATTCACTTTGCTCTTCTGCTGCCCCATGGAGCTCATTAGCCTGCCTCACCTTCCAAGGCTGTGTAAGGGTCAGAGGCAGCATGTGAAGTGTCACTATAAATAAGTTTGCTGCTAAGATAAATTTTCCTGCTGGGTGGTGGTGGTGTACACTTTTAATCCCAGAAATCAAGAGACAAGTGAATGTCTATGACTTTGACGCCAGCCTGGTTCAGATTGAATTCTAGCATAGAACCAGGGCAACATAGTGAAACACTGTCTTAGAACACCCCCACTCCAACCCCCCCAAAAAAACAAAGTCAGGAGCCAAGCAGTCAAGCATGGTATAGACATGTAATCTACATAGGTAGAGGCAAGGAGGACCAGAAATTCAAGGTCAACCTGGGCTACTTGCAAATCTGTGTCAAAAACAAAAAAAAGCCGGATGTGGTAATATATGCTTGTAACGCCAGCACTGGGAAGGCAGAGATGGAAGACCCCTGGGCTCACTGTCCAGTGCCACCTACTGGCAAGTTCTAGACCACTGAAAGACCCTGTCTTGAGAAAAATAATAGAAAACACGTAAGGAATAAGGACTGACTCCCCCCCAGGTCATATTCATTCTCCTCCCCTGTCCCTCTCTCTCACACACACTCTCACACAAACACACAGAAGGAATTACGTTTGTTGGAAAGTAAATGCAACTCAAGGTCACCATATTAAGCAAAACAAGCCAAATCAGGGGGACAAACATTAAAAACACATTTTCTCTCCTTTGTGGGTCCTAAATTTCACAAATTTCTAAAGAAACATTTTAAGCCAGTCATTTAGGCTTTGTGAGGTTCAGCTTCCTGTATAAAAAGCTTTCTTCACCATTCAGAACTGAGATGAGGTTGAAATGAGATAATGGCCTAGCAGTCAGTGGCCCTCAGGAAAAGGAAGGCCACCCTGCCCATACGACTATTAGAAGAGGCTACTGAGCATGCGTGCCACACACTCACCTTGTGCCTTTGTTCTTCCCAAATTACAGGTCACCCAAAACTGTGGTGTCACCCACAAGCCAAATGCCAGTGCAAACGCAGCCCACTCCAAAGGACTCGAGTGTGACAGAGGACTAGAGGTGTTTGTGCCTGCTCAGCCTGTTGGGACAGCTGCAAGCCAGTTCCCAGTGACTGTGGGCAGCCTTGACTCCCTCCTCCTGTCTAATAGCAGAAGAATATGGAGGCTTGAGGCCAAATTGGGCTGAGACAGCCTCTGACTGGCCCGGATGAGGCTCTTCCTGCTGCCTCTTTAGTGTGGCCCTACATGTCATGATAGAGGAGACAGGGCTCTTGAGAAGACCTGAGGTGGTGTGTGTCCTGCAGGCCCAGTGTCTGTTTTTCCTCCTGAGGTCAGTTTGGAGCGAGTTCCTGCAGATGAAGGAGAGCACCATCTCTGGGCTCCATCCTGAGGACTTCATCGGGGCAGCAGACAGCAGACTGGAGTGACTGCTGTGTAGAAACTAGGAGCTGATATGTCGCTCCCCATCCTGCCAGGGTGCAGGCTTGCTTGTCCTGACAGCACTGCCATCAGCTGCCATCTCTCCAGTTCCCAGTGGTGCTCACAGGCATCTACAGTAGCTAGGAGCCTGAGGAGACCTGAGTGCCCAGTGGGATCGTGGGAAGCACCGCAGGGGGCCCTTGTCCTTCATTAGAGGTGCTCTGACCCCAGGCCATGCAAGAACGTCTCCCACCTGCTATGTTCCTTGATTCTGTGCCCTTAACAGCAAACGGCCTCGTGCCAGCCTACTGAAAGGCTACCTGGTATTAGTTGTGAGCCCTTGTGTAGTAGACGATCCCACCCAGGTTGCTGTGGTGCTATCCTTCCCTTGTCATCCTCAAGGAGGTTTGGGGGCCCAGGAAGGAGGACTAGAGAACTGGTGTGAGGGAAATGTCCCCCGGGCCTGAACTACGAGTCGGTTTTTTCACATTGCTTAGGAGCAAGGATTCTAGGAAGTAACCCTAAGACTTCACTTAGGAATACAGTTGGGTACCATAGAGAGATGGAGGCCGGTCTTAAACTTAAAGCTTTGGCCACTCAGACATCCATATAAAGAATTTCTTCTGTGAACTAGGCTGTAACTTCAGATCTAGGATTTATAACCAGCCATGTTGATATTGCTGTAATATCCCCACACTGTCAGAGCCCAGTAATGATCATACCCCAGAAAAAGTCTTCCTGGTGCCCAAACCCAGCCTGGTTCATCGACCCAGCCACATTTACCTTTCACATAGGCCTTCTAGAGGTCTTGAGAGAACCTAAGCTGTAGAATCTGATTCATTCTTGAGATAGTCATTCTAGCTACTGAGTGGAGGACTGCAGGGAGTCCAGTGTGAGCGCTGGGTCCCTAAGGCTGTCCCCAGGGTCATCCCTTCAGGGTAGATCTCCCCAACCTCATGCCCAGGATGCTGTGTCTTAAGTTCTGGATATGAGTGATCGGGTGAGGATGCATAAAGGCAGGTGTCCTCTTCCTGCTCAGGTTAAAGAGCTGGAGGGGTTTCCACAGAGCATCTCACAGGCTTCTGGCCCCCCAAGGGCCTTTTCTGTAACTCAGACGATGCAAGGGGTGCTCCACCGTGGGAACTGATGGCAGCCTCGGCTCTGGCTCCCTGCAGCTCGCTGTCCTGGCGCTTGCCCCTAGCCTGCTGTGAGAAGCTCTCCTTGGCTCCTAGAATAGGCTCTCAGCTTTCCACCTCCCTGCCATAGGCTGCCTCAACAGTTTTCCCATAGTTGTATGCAGTCCAGTGTGTCAAAACTAGTAAAGATTACTAGGTAAGGAAGTGAAGGGCAAGGTCATGAATGGTGACCTGCCGTGACTCTCAGCTCGTAAGCCCACCTTGTCTAGATTCAGGATCCCTAGCAGCTGCATGTCCAGCTTTTGCCCTCCGGGGACACACTTGGAAAGCGATGAGTTAGAGAGTTATGTAAGGGCATGTGGGAAGGCCCTGGGCACAAGTACTACCAGCGTGGAGTATGAAAAGACAGAAATGAACTTGTGGTCTGTGTGACTTTTGAGGCTTTGTTTTCCAGTTTGTTTCATGTAGGCTGGCTGGTCTCATTCGTGTCATGCACAAGGCTGGCTTTGAACTTCTGACCCTGGACCTCTACCTCCCTGCATCTAGAATGACAGGCACGCACCACCACATTCAGCTTCACCCGTGTTGTTGTGTATGTGAGAAGTCCTTTTTGTTTTATCTCTGAGGGGACAGGGTCTCGTCATGTAGTGCTGGCTGTCCTGGAACTCACTCTGTAGGCCAGGCTGGCCTCGAACTCACAGACATCTGCCTGCCTCTGTGTCTCCAGTGCTGGGATTAAAGGCGTGTGCCACCACCGCCTGGCAAGAAATTCATTTTTTTAATGCTGTCAGTAATCCTTTATTTGAATTCGTCACAACAGAGCCTTCCTACTGCTGACAGTTGTGTTTCTCCTTGAGGGTTGTCCCAAATAAAGCTGCTGTCATTTGGTGTATGTGTTCCTTCACTCAGAAGTCGGATGATGGGATAGGCACAGTTTTCAGCCAAAGTGGTTCTGATGCTCACCCATTCAGAATGTAAAGGCCCCAGGCCTCTTGTCTGTACTAATTATCAGTCTTTAAAGTTGGATTTTCTGATGGCAACCAGGAAGTCGGGCTCAGGGACCAAGTCTTCTAATAAATGGCACTCTACTCTTATCATTAAAAAAAAGTCTCTGTAGCCCTGGCTTCTCTGGAACTTGTGTAGACCAGGCTGGTCTCAAACTCACAGTCATCTACCTGCCTCCGCCTCCTGAGGGCTGGGATGAAAGGCGTGTGCCACCAGATTCAGGCTGCTTTTGTGGAATTCGGGAGCCTAGAATGAAGCCAGGTATCAATGCACAGGTCCACACACACACAGGGCAAGCATCAGAGAGAGCTCCCCCATATTGTAGTGACCCAGGAAGGTCTCACAGAGAGGGCTGAGCCCTATAGAAGCAGTAACACAGGGAACTCAAGCGCTGCAATCAGGCAGTGGGGACTCTCCACAAAGCTCTGTGACCTTGGTTAGCTAGCCCCATCCCACCCCCAATGTGGAACAGTGCCGACCTTAGAGTCTCTGCCTGTGCCAAGCCTGAACTATAGAGAAAGGCCATACATCCGTTTTTAGCACTCTCCTGGTCACTGTCCATAAATCTAGAAACATCAAAACCATTATGAAAGTGGACCAAGTTTACCAGGCAGTGACCCATGCTGGCCACTAGGTGGAAGGCACTCCTTTTCTCCTTTTCCTTTTTTTTTTTTTTTTTTTCCTGGCCAATACACCAATCCCAGGACCTTAGTATTTGGTTTAACGCCAACAAGAATAGGGTGGTCTTAAGTCTCTGTGTGTGATATTTCATTTAACCCTCAAGACAAATGAAAAAAGAAAAGATCAGTTTTCACAGGAAAAGCATGAGTCATGTCGCAGGCACTCTTAAAACAAAGCAGCTTTGGAAAGATCTGACCCCATGCTCCCAAATCATTTTCTTTTTAACTTTTTTATTGTTTTTGAGACAGTTTCTCTGTGTAGCCCTGACTGCCCTGGAACTCACTCTGTAGACCAGGCTGGCTTCAAACTCACAGAGATCCACTTGCCTCTGCCTCCTGAGTGCTGGGATTAAAGGTATGTGTCACCACTGCCCTGCCTTTTAATATTTTTGTTTATTACTATTTTTATGGTTGCTTGGGCACATGTGGAGGTCGGAGGACAACTTGTAGAACTTCCCTCCTGTGAGATTCGGAGGTCAAGCTCAGGTGAGTGGGGTTCTAAGCTCCCTGAACCATCTCTGACCAGCTCCCGACTCTTCCTTTACACGAGCTGCCATCTGTACTTCCCAGGCTATCTCGCCTTCTGACATCACACTTGGCTTGAAAGGCTGCAAAATTAACCACCTGCCTAACAGTAAGCTGATGTTGGAGCAACTCGGGATCCTTTCTTACTTGAGTTTGTCTCTCTGTAACCTGGGCTGGCTTTGAAGTTTCTATCCATTCTTACAATTTTACTTTTTTTAAAGATGTATTTATTTATTTTGTATTGTGTTCTGCCTGCACATATGCCTTCAGGCCAGAAGAGGGCATCAGATCTCACTACAGATGGTTATGAGCCACCATGTGGTTGCTGGGAATCGATCTCAGGGCCTCTGGAAGAACAGTCAGTGCTCTTAATCTCTGAGCCATCTCTCCAGCCTGTGTTTTAATTTTTAAAATGGTGAGAGAAAGAGACAGAGAGAGAGAGATCATAAACCAGGGCTCACATGGGAGGTTTATTGGAAGAGGAGAGAGAAAGGGCAGAGGGGGGGCAGAGACGGATCCCTGGGGATAAGATTAGCAAGAGAGAGAGGAAGAGGGAAAGAGAGAGATGGGAGGTGGGCAGGGCCCGCCTTTTAAAAGGGTGAGTGTGCACAGGTGGCTGCAGCTGAGGGCGTATCCTGTCAGGACCCTGAGGGCAGGCCAGTACAGATGCCTGAATACTAACAACAGTCTGTTAACTGCAATCCAGCCTAGGCAATTAAAGCATAAATTTAGAGCTGTTAGTGAGTACCTTTGCCAATGTCTTAGGAAAATCTGCTTGAGAATTAAACCAACACAATCCAGCTAAGAAGTGAGAAAAACATTTTCGACGAGTCCCCCATCTAGCTATGCCCAAAGCTAATAGCCTAGAAATTTCTAATTGTGACTTTTCCTTGAATCTGTTTGCTGCGTTTAATTCCTGTCATTTTCAGTGAAGAGTTAGTTCTGCCGAGGGGCTAGAGCCACACCTTGGAGGTATAGCACTACTGTTGTGTGGGAGACCATCCTGCTTCAAACCATGTATCTGGGGGTAGACAGTGTGTGGTGGGAGGAGGAGGAAGAGAAGGAAGGCAGATGGAGGCTACTCCAGGTACTCTTGTCAGCCCAGAGACCTCTGCTGTGAGTAAACATCAAAAGAGCATTGGCCCCAGGACTAACTTGGCAACCTTCCCTGTACCCAGGTGCCTCGTGCTCCCTTTAAACCCTGCCCTTAATACACTGAGTCAGGACGAACGCTTCAACTGACTTTTTGGGTTTGCTTTTTGCTTTTTTTGTTGTTTTGTTTTTGAGACATTTTTCCCTGTGTAATCCAAGTTGGTCTGGACCTAATGATCCTGCTGCCTCAGGCTCCCAGGTACTAGGATTATAGGTGCTCACCACCAGAGCTGGCTCCTAGAAGCTGCTGCCTATGTGCAGAAATTGGGTCTTACCACACTGGATCCCTGATGAATAGCAGAGAACATGTTTGCCTGGGAGGGACAACTGGTAGGGTTTTTTGTTTGTTTGGGGTTTTGTTGTTCATTTGTTTAGTTTTTTTTTTTGGTTTTTTGTTTGTTTTTTATTTTTTGAGATAGGCTCTCACTATGTAGACTCAAACTCTTAGAGATGCTGCCTCTGCCTCCTGAGTGCTGGGCTTAAAGGTGTGCACCGTTTTACTTTTGTTTTTCAGTACTGGAGATTAAACCCGGAAATTGCAGTGTACGAGGCAAGTGGTCCACCACTGACTCACTTCCCCTCCAGCATCCAGAGATGAGCCTCTAGCTGTTGTAGAGGTCAGAGAAGCCGGGCTTCATCCCTGCCAGCATCCAGAGATGAGCCTTTAGCTGTTGTAGAGGTCAGAGAAGCCGGGTTTCAGGGCTTGGAGAAAGAAGTGGGCTGTGGGGCAGAGTGGTGGCTTCAGTGATGACTTCCCATGAGTCTTTGCCTCCCCATGCCCTCTCAGTGCAGCCTTGTCTGGAAAGGGCCTTTCCCCTGTCGCTTGGCTTGGATGCTGGCTGGCCTTGTGAAGGGATTGGACTGGAGAATACAACGTCACGACACTGTGTGACTCCCAAGGCTGGAATGTAAGAGTCCTTACAGCCTCCCTCCCTGCCACAGTGCAGGAGTCTGGCTTGAGCTGCAGGAAGACGAGTGATTGTGTGATGAGGGAGGCAACAGCCAGTTTCGTACAGCTGCCATTCTATCTGTATGTGTGTTTTGTTGTTGCTTTGTTCGTGATGGTATTGGGTGTTGAACCTGGGGCCTTGTTCATGCTAGGCAAACTCTTTACCACAGAATTAATAACCCCACCCAAAGAGGTCATCACGGGCCCTCAGCACAGATGATCTGAAGTATAAGCAACCCTAGCTAATCCATAGAATGGCAAATGAAAAAAAAAGTCTTACGGTTTCTTTTGCTGTAATAAAACACTGACCAAAAGCAGCTTGAGGAGGAAAGGGTTTATTTTAACTTACATTTCTGGGTAACCCTGAAGGAGGTCAGGACAGCAGCTCACACAGGGCAGGAACCTGGAGATAGGAGCTGAAGCAGAGGCCATGGAGGGAGCTGCTCACTCTCTTGAGCTCACGGCTCACTCAGTCTGCTGTATTATAGGGTTCAGGGCACCACCCCTGGGGTAAGGAGTGTATAAAGGAGAATTTCTTTTTACCTCAGACCCTACTGTATGCCAAAGTCCTGAAACAACCTCAAAGTCCTGCGGCTACAATTGTGACCAAGTGCTACAGGGACAGTCCCAGTGTAACCAGAGCGTGACAGAAGACAAAGCTCACTCTGGGCTGAGACAGGCTAGGTCTCCCTGAGGAATTGAATTCCTTCTGGAGATGTGGATCAAACCCAAGGCCTTGTGCGTGTAGGCCTCTGTTCTGATGCTGAGGCACACCCCAGCCCAGGGAGTGGCATCCGGTGCTGGGGATGTAGCACAGTTGGTGGACTGCTTACTGAGCACTAACAAGGTCCTAGGTTCAATCGGCAGTACCGAGTAAACCAGGCCTGGTGACACAACCCTATCATGCCAGCATTGGAAAGTAGAGGCAGGAAGATGGGAAGGCCAAGCTTATCCTCAGATACAGGCACAGAGTATGAGACCAGGTTGGACTTTATACTTGTCTCAAGAAATAAAATGAAACAAAGTAAGATACAACAAAGTGGGCCATGCATGACTGTATACGCCTTTAATCCCAGCACTGAGGCTGAGACAGCAGAATCATGAGTTTAAGGCCAGCCTGAGTCATGTAACAAGTTCTAGGCCAGCTCCAAGTAGTTAGTGAGCCCATCTGCATTTTCTCGTAGAATCCAGATTTAGCACAGAGCCCTGGGAATAATGCCCTATCCCCAGCATCTGGTCACCCTTGACATCTCTCTGCCCACCCCTTCCCACTCACTGCTCCCCACCCCCACCCCAGGATTCTGTCCACATGGCATGTCTGCTGCAAGAATCACGCTAGGTCAGTTGGGCAGAATCCCCTCACCCCCGATGTCTCCTCTTGGTCCTACTCTGCCTTCTGAGTCCGCGGCTCCTTGACTGTAGGACCTCACTTGCCCATGCTGCATTTAGAGTTGTCCCATCTCTGTCCCCCACTAAACGACCCAGGGCAGAAGCCGCCTCTGTCCCTATTACAATGCTCCTAAATAAGGTCTTTCTCCTTCATCTCTACCAGATACGTCTGCCTTGGGTTTTTGTTT